TAACACAGCTCTGGGACACCTGACCCCACACTCAACAACTCTTTCTTACTGCAGAGCAAAATGTGACAGTACCTAGAGAAGAGAGAGAGGGAAAAAAAAAAAAAAAAGAAAAAATATCCCTAAAGACTGATGTCCCAGTTTTGTCATTTCATAAAAGCATTGAATATCCTGACTCGGAAGGGACCCAGAAGGATCTTCAAGGCCAATTCCTAAAAATTGTTGCAGTCTTCTCAGAAGTAGGTAGATCTCAATGAATGAGTTTTACTGAGTGATTAACTGGTGATTGACAAAATGCGAGTGTCCATTGCATTTTTTACAAATTACAAATTACAATTTACAAATTACAAGCCAAATGGATTCCAGGTAGTAGCCTCCTATAAGCTCTGCATGAACCTCTCTGGTGTTTGAGGCCACATAAATTCAACTAAAAATACTACGGTTACCAGAGAGACATTTGTTATCATGTTTAAAGAAAGACAAAGGAAATTCTCAGACAGTGAGTTTGTTAAATTGTAAGTTATGCTGTGACTGTGCAGCAGCGACAAAGAAAGCACGGCAGCTCCGAAATGGATTTGCAGCTCCAAGGCCTGGGGAAGGTTTGTAACATATCTGATTGGGGCTATTTGGGATTGCAGGCGACCCTCTTTCATTTGGCTTTTGGAGAGCAGTTTTGCTTATGTTCTGGAAGACCACAAGAATTGCAGAAGTGCTTGTCTCCACTTGTCTACTTCTATTATTTTAAAACCATTTAATCACCATATAATTAAAAGAAAAACCTCCACAGCACTTCCAGAACTATCTTTAACTTCGCTTACGTATGTGAATGAAGTTACAGAATTGCCAATTTTGGAGAATTAAAATTCTTTTTTTAGCTTATATCCATTCTTACAAACAGTTCCTGCTTATTGAGAGTAAATATTGAAACCAGCATTCAACACCCTAAACTTGTCCATCCAACCTAAACCAGCACTCCAGTTAGGCTTCTAATGTGGTTTCTGTTCATCTCTCGGTGACTTCATTGCCTTTCCATTCTTGTTGTTGTTGTTTTTAATAAAACGGAGCTCAGTGCCATAAAAATAAACCAATTCCTATAAGTAATTTTTCATTAGGGCAGATAAAGTGCCGCGAATAAACACGCACGATGTAACATGTCAACGTGCTAAAAAAGAGCTAAGGAGAATGCGTGTCTGCTCTGAGTGAAAGGACAGGTTTCCTCAGAGTAAGGTTTCATGGGATAAACGAAAAGAAAATTAGTGCCTATGGATTGGAGAGCTGAAAAAAATCTGCTGTTCAAAATGGCAAATATTTAGATTGAAGCTCTGACTTTTAGCGTATGGAATTTTTATTATCTATGAACTTCAGCAAGTTCATTTGTGAGCCATCTTTTAAGCTAAACTTCTATATCCAGTATGTAAAAAGTGAAAGTTTTCAAGGCTTGCTCTTTTTACAGTCTTCGTGAAGTTTTAAAATTGTCTGTTGAATGTATCAGAAATTCTGAGGAATCTGAATAAATAAAAGTCACGATACTAAAATTAGAAATTTAAGTCTTCCACTGTTTGTTCTGAACTGTTGGGGTTTCAATGTATGAATAATTCATAAAAGTAAAACATTTTCCACATTGCTTAAATGTAAAGGAAAGTACCTTGCAGAGTCTGTTCAAAGTGTTAATATTTGTATGCTTTGGTGCATTTTTTTTGGAAAGTTCCATATGTAAGAGATTTCACAACCTAAGGTTAACAATGAAAGTAAAATTCATCTCCCATATTGAAAACAGAACCGTATGGCATTTTTCTTCCATGATTAGGATGTGTTGTAACTAGGGTTGAGCAAAATGGGGCATCTTTCCTGATAGCTAAATGCTACCTCTCTGCTGCTGTACCTCGCTAACTTTCTTCTGAAGCCTACATCTGCTCCACACCCAGCAGCCTCCCACACCAGCTCTGCCTCGCTGCATTTTCTGAAATTTGGACAGAGATTTCAGAAACTGCGATCATCTCTGTGGGAGCAGATACTGGCTCCAAAAAAAAACCACTGGAACACCTTTTTTCCCCAAATTATAGAAGACTTTGAGATTGCCAGCTGGGTGGTGATGCAGAAATCCTGCACGCTCTTGATGAGATCCGGGCAGGTACTGGATGGAGAGATTATTCTGGCTGGAAGGTAACAGAAAAGAAGAATTAATGTAAATTTGGAAGAGGAAAAGGAGAATAGCTGGAGCAAAAATGCTCTGGAGAAAATGTAAACACAAAAAATGTGTTAACTATACATTGTCTTTCTATAGCATGCTTTTGGGAAAGGCACATGAACAGGTTTAGGAGACTTCATGTTGTTACTATTTTATTTTCAGGTCATTTATTTAAGTGTCATAAAGAACATTAGCTAGTGGTTAGGGACTACGGTATCCATTATATTATTCCAATCATGTGGACAAGTTTATACTACGTATGATTTACAGTGGTCTTTCTGCAGTTAAAATTGTTATATTCAGGTACAACATTTTATACATTGTTGTATTTAGTAAAATCCAAGTGGCTGAACACAGAGACGTCTTCCAATCAAAGTCCAAAAAATTAATGCTTGTACACGAACACTGTGGCTTGCAGCAAGAGCAGTTTATGGCTCTCTGCCTACATCCTTTATCATGTCTCCGCTGTTGTTAGTAAAATATACAGAACTACTTTATGCCAAAACAATGGAAGTTAATGCAGATAACTTGTTCCAAAGTTAACCATCAAATAAATCTTATTTTTTTTTAAACTGTTAAGTGAAATGGTGTTCTAAAACTTTTAAAAATTGTCAAGATGATAAATACTGTGTGTGTAATACAAGTAAATACAACAGAATTGATTGCACACACATGTCTTAAATAAAGGATATTAAATAGTGTATTCCAGAGAGAAATCGGTGAAGTTTTATCTAATATTATTAGAAACTCTGCCATGACAGATCAGATTTATGAGGACTGAAAACTAAGGAAAAAACCTGTTCAGATACAGGAATGGTGCGTGGAGGGGATGATTGGCTGGGAGGTTAAACACAGGCAGAGATACAGCATACCTAGGCAATCCGACCTTTAATGCTTTGAGTAATTCCTCTTACAGCAACGATTTTTCAAAAGCTGTTAGTTAAATTTGGTTGGGTAAACCGGTACTCTGCACTTAGCTTGGTGGTTTAGGGCAAATTCCTAAACCTATTTCTGCTTCATCTGCTGTCACCTAACTTGTATCAGCCCTACAAAACTTAGTTCAGAGTACGAGCCTGGTCTGCGCTCGGTGGTGGTCAGAGGGATCCATGCCATGAGCTTCGGTTCCCAAGTGGAGGTGACATCTCCAGTGCTGGCTTCACTTTTAAGAGCATCCACATACTGAGTAGCCAGATACATGGGAATACAGGCAGCCACACTGAATTCATCTCTTTGTGCTCGTTATCTCTTCCAAAAGGGTTATAGGTTTCATGCAGGTTACAATTTATGAAAGACATTTAATAAAATGCTACCTTAAATGTTATGAGGAACAATAGCCTGTTTTGAATGCAAAAGACCTTTTTTTTTGTTTTGTTTTTTTTCTTTTTTTTTTGCGAAAGTAATGAAAGTTTGGGAGTCTGAGGGTGGCTAATTCGTTGAGATGGGAATAATTCAACTCAGGCTCATTTGGGATCTTGTCTTTATAGTAACATACGTAGTGGATTTGGGTGAAATGACTGAATATGACTGAGCTTTCTGATTGCATCTACAGAGCGGCTCCACTGAGTAATGGTGAGCAGTGAGAGAAAGGTGGATCTCATAGGTGATTTGGTCAGTGACTTGAAAATGCAGCTTAGTGTAGATAAACACAGAAATAATATGCCAAAGGACAGCAACCTGAATCAAGGAGTGTCCATTGCATGGATAGTTACGCAGCTTTCTGATTTAGAAAAGGGGATTTAAGGGTCTCAAATAAAAGTCCTCGAAGTAATTAGTCAAGTACAACTGTGGTAAAGCTCGTATAGTGTATGTGTGTTTGTATTTTGGTAGTAATTTCAAAGGAAAAGGGTCTGCTTGTGTGTAAAGGTGCTCCAGTGCAGGGTAGGATGGGTGATTCCAGCATTTAAGGATATTTGTTTTGACAGAGCAGCGGAAGCAGCTTGTTCACAGCCCAGAAATTAGCTCTTCCTGGGATGGAGCAAAACTCTGAAGAACTGTGGAGGAGGTTGATAAAGTAGAGCAAGTGTTCGCTTTAGTAAACAGTTCAGTAAACAGGCTATAGTGTGTAAACATTTGGAAATTACAAGGAAATGCAAAATTTAAATGTCTCTACTTATCTGGAAGAACCATAATCACACTGAAAGGCATGTAAGTAAATAATATTTGGGTAAATTAGCTTGAGGTGCAGACATTTAGAGTGTGGATCCCATGGTGGCAGTGCAAGTAGTCCTCTTTATGTTTACTCAGAAGAGTCATGTTCGAGTAGAGGAGCTTCAGTTGAGTGTTTCCTGAGCCAGGACTGTCATTCATCCATTCCTACTTTAAATCAAATAATGAAACTGGATCTGCATAAAACGTTACCGTTTATATATTACAAAAATTAGTTCAGTGGCCTGAATATAGCAGTGTGCAGATGAGTCCTGTCACTGGAAGGGTTTTCTGCAGCATGTGCAAAAATGCCAGGACTTTACTGGCTTAGGAAACAGCATTGCCATTTTACTTCCCAGAGATGTTTGCTTTATTTTATTTTAGTAAGGAGGTAGTTTTGTTCTCCCTGCTAATGCACATGCTGTTAGCAACGCTGTGGTTCAGTGGAGACCTTCGGATTCCCAGCCAGTGAATATTTCACAGGTACCACATTCACTAACATGCACATGAAACGTGTCGGTTACTGAGTGGAGTTGTTGCTTGGAGAGATGTAAAATGCCAACCATTGTTTTGTCTTTTCACTTAATATTAATTAATTAAAAATTGCCGGGTAAAACTGAAATCCAGCCTGAACACTATATATAGATTTTTCTCTTCTTTTTGCTAACAG